AGGCTCAGCAGGCTCTGCTGGGCACTGGTGCTAGCAGCTGTGCTATCACAGACTCATGTGGTCATGTTATTATTTGTGTTTTCATCTCTCCAGATTGCTCAGAAATATGACCCACAGAAAGAGGAGGAGCTCCGTTTCTGGATCGAAGAGGTGACCGGCATGTCTATTGGAGAGAATTTCCAGAAAGGCTTGAAGGACGGGGTCATCCTCTGCGAGTAAGTTCTGTTTGCTCTTGTGTTACTGACGTTGTTGGGCCTCTTGATCTTTGTAATGGAGACAAAAGCAAATTCCATGTAACGTTAAGTATGTTTTCTAATCGATTGACTTCAGTTTGACACCAAACCAAGGCTCTGTTTATCGTAACACCCACATCTCTGTGGTGCGTCGGCCGGTCATGCACCTCTGTTTCTCTAACCTGTGGACACTGAGTGGACGATCATAGTTTTTACTGCCGTTTTCATGATGTTCCTGCACAGAAGCTCCATGCAGACAAACTGGAGAGTTTGTTGAAAAAAAAAACACTCTCCAAAGTCGGCATCGTCAGATCCTCTTTATTTGGCCAAATTTGTGTCCACAAACATGGACTCTGACTCTGGGTCACTTTGATCTATGCATGCAAACACAAAGAGAAAACAAGTTACACAAAGTCTAACTAACTATACAAACTGAGCACAATAGTAGCCCAATGCACATATGAATGCTCTAACAGCTTATTTCAGTGTTCATCAGAGTGACAGCCTGAGGGAAGAAAACCTAGACGGCGGTCTGAAGGCAGCAGTTTGAACAGGGTGGGAGGAGTCTGCAGGCAGCTGACGATCTGCAGATCTGACTGTCTGTTGCAGTCTTCGGGGCTGAACTGAACCAGACAGTAATTGATGTGCATGGGACAGACTGGATGATGGCTGTGTAGAAGATGACCTCCTGTGGCAGCTTGAACTTCCTGAGTTGCTGCAGGAAGTCCTCACGCACAGACTGTGTCTGGGCCTGTTTCCAGACACAGTCTGTGCGTGAGCAACACTTCAGATTGCATGAAAAGGTGGATGTTGGGAATCTGAAGGGATCCACAGTGGGTGCTGTATTGTTTAGAAGCCCACCGGCATCTCTACGGTGTTGAGCTGGCCTCGTCGTGATCAGACCAACGATGGTGGTTCTCCTGAGGTGCAGTCGTTTGTGGAGAGGCACTCCTGGGGGAGGCCGGTGCTGATGGTCTGTGTGTGGGATGTGACGCCCGTCGGCTTCGCCTGCTGCTGCCTGTCCGACAGGAAGCTGGTGATCCGGCTTCCTGTCGGATGACCACATGAGCTAGGTGAGCTTCCGGTGGAGGATGTCTAGGATACGGCGCTGAAGTCCACAAATGGGATCGTGGCATACGCCCCCAGTTTGTCAAGGTGATGCAGGATGTAGCGCAGTCCCATACTGGCTGCACCCTCAGCCGGGCGCTTTGGTAGGCACACTGCTGGATGTCCTCCAGGTGGTTCAACAGCAGCCGTTCAAAGGACCAGATGTTCATCAGTTTTCTGTGATGAATCCTGACTGAAACTCTTCCTCTGCAGATGATCAGCTGCTGTTGTTTTAATGAAAGGATGGTGTATAATAACCAAACACAGACTTTTAACCCTCTGGGCTCTATCCTGGCCGTTTGTGGCCACTTCACTTTTCTTTTTTCAACCATTTTTGTTCTGTTAATGCAATGAAACTTTCCAAAGGTGTGTATTTATTTCAGATTGTTTAATTTTCAACATCAGCTCCTTAATAATGTCACTAATATTCACTATACACCAAATTGTTCCTCTTGACTCTATCGTGGCCATTTTTGGCCAGTTGAAACCCATTATAACCACCTTTATTGATTCCTTGTTACTGGCAGTACTATATCATGCGATTTAGGTAAAATTACTTTCATTCTAAACTCAACACATGAAAATTGTAGTTTTTAATGTTTTTACCAAATTACATCTTTTACCCATTTTTGGCCAATCAAGCGATTTCATGTAATATTCCTCGTTTCTAGTAGCGGCCTTTGATGGCTGACCACACTCCAATGGACCAAAAT